TACTGATATAGTTACGTATGCGGTGCTGGCCCGGGTTGTGTGGCAGGTTAGCACAGGTTGTGTATACATATGCTACAGGTGTGGAGAATGCAGGTGTTGGCCTGTGTGTGTGCACGTCGTATGTTCATGTGTGCTGCCCTGTGCATTGTGGTGCAGGGGGGGGGGAGTCCAGTGGGTGTGTTTACATGTGCCCCAGGATCGTGGTGGGCTGCCTGTGTGTGTTTGTGTGCACAATATACTCGTCATGTGCTTGCCTGCCTGTGGCATTTGTATGCACGCGATGCACAGGTGTGCGACAGTATACACAGTGTCAGGTTGTGGTGGCCTCTGGTGGTGTATCTGTACTTACATGGTGTGCTGCCTTGTGACATTTGTGCTTTCAGGTCACATAAGCCGGTGGTTATCTTACGATGTGCCAGATGTGGTGTGTTGGCTTGTGTGTTTGTTTGTGTGCACCTTACATGCGTATCATGTGTGCTGCCTGTGCAATTTGTATGCAGGGTGCACAGCGTGTGTATACATGTGTAAAGGGGGCTGCGTGCCCTGTGTTTTGGACGTCTGTATGTACATGTGTGCTGCCTTGTGCATTTGTGTGCAGGTCCATGGGTGTGTTTACATGTGTGCAGGTGTGGTGTGTGCCTGTGTGTGTTTGTGTGCACCTATACATGTACATGTGTGCTGCCCTATGCATTGGTGTGCAGGTGCATGGTGTGTGTACATATGTACAGGTATGATGCGTGCCTATGTGTGTTTGCATGCACCTATATATGTACATGTGTGCTGCCATGTGCATTCGTTTGCAGGTGCACGGTGTGTGTACACATGTACGGGTGTGGTGCGTGCCTGTGTGCACATCTATATGTACATGTGTGCTGCCTGATACATTTGTGTACAGGTGCACAGGTGTGTGTACATATGTACAGGTGTGCTGCATGCCTGTGTGTGTTTGTGTGCACATCTGTATATACATGTGTGCTGCCTTATACATTTGTGTACAGGGGCACAGGTGTGTGTACATATATATACATGTATGGTGCATGCCTTTGTGTTTGTGTGCACGTCTGTATGTCCATGTGTGCTGTCTTATGCATTTGTGTGCAGGTGCATGGGTGTGTATACATATGTACATGTGTGGTGCATACCTGTGTGTTTGTGTGCATATGTGTGTGTACATGTGTACTGTCCTGTGCAGTACGAGTGCAGGTGCATGGGCGTGTGTGCGCGTGTGCACACGTGTGAGTGCATACAGTGCCCAGGCACCTCTGCAACCAGCCCCACAGGCATTGCTAAGTGCTTCAGGCTCCCTGAGTCCTGAGGAGGTCCAGGCGGTGCAGAATTGGCTGCAGGTTGAGCACAAATCAGAGAGACCTTTTATCATTGGGACCCAGGAACCCTGAGGGAGGTTCACGCCACAGAAGGAGCTGGAAGGGCCTAGGAGGTGATGTCGTCATGCCACTCCCTGGACTCCGGGCGGGCGTGGGGCAGGCGAAGTGCGGGCCACGCAGGGGACCTTGAGTCAAGCCCTGCCCTCACCTGTGGTGGGGGCCCATGCAGTGCCGGCCGCAGGCGGGAGAAATTCAAGAGGGGAGACGCCTTTCAGGCCCTGGCTGGGCGGTGGGGGGCCCCACCCCCAGCCCCCAGGTCGGTGCCAATCTTCTCCTGGCCACACCCACACCAGCCAGCCCCAGCCTGGCTCCCCCCACCCCACCCCCCACTGCTGTGGGTGGCAGGGCACAAACACGCAGGCACAGGGGTGACGGGCCTGGCACAGTGGGCAGGAGAGGCCCGGAGCCCAGGGTGCATGGCGGGTGAGTGTGGCTGTGTGCATTGTGTGTTAGTGTGTGTGACGCTGCGTGTACTGAGTGTGGGTACAAGTGTGGAGGGGCCATGTGTATGAAAGTGTATGTGGTTGACATTATGTGTGAGTGTGCTTGCATATAGTAAGCGTGTGGATATATATGAGAGCATGTATGAGTAAGAGTGTGGGCATATATGAACATGTGTGTAGTGTTGCATGTGAGGATATTCACTCCCACTGTGTGTGGGGTGTACATGAAAGTGGATAGAAGCATTGTGAGCATGCATGTGCCTGGGAAATGGTGTCTTAGTACATAGATGTGTGCATGTGTGAAAGTGTATGTGTTGGCATGTGCCTGTGTGTGGTTGCATGTATAAGGGACGTGTGTACATGCATATGTACGTGTGTGAAACTGTCATGTGTTAGGTGGGAGCATGTGTGCACAAGTGTGATGTGCGTGTTGGGCAGGTGCATGTCCACGCGTGTGGGTGCTGGTGCAACCATCCTGATCGCAGCTGGGCTCTCACGGGGTCGGGAGGTGAGGCCAGAGCCGGGAGGCCCCGGGCGGTCTGGCCGTGCAGAAGGAACCACGTGCCTGTGTCCTGCTGGAGCTAATTTCTGGGCAGTTCTATGACCATTGCGTCACATGCGTGTGGTTGCATGTCAGGGTCACACCACATCAGCCCTGCACGGAGCGCGTCCTGTAGGTGCCAACTCCACCCTCACAGGCCCATACACCCGGCTCTTCGGCCCACGACCCACGTACCCACTGGGCCACGAGCCTGTGGGGTCAGGGGTGGCCCAGCGAGCAGGTGTCCCAGCCCGGCAAGAGTCCCCTGGCTCCAGCCGAGCTTCCGGGGGAGGCCATGTTCCAGGCGCCGTGAGCAGACACCTGCTCTGGGAAGCACGCTAACCGTTCCCAGATGTCCCCGGGCTCTGACGCCCAGAGAACGGGGTGACAAGGAAACCTTGCTCCAACCCTTTCCCGACCCACGGAAGGATCCGCATCTCCGGAGTCTCAGCTCGGGGCTCAGGGCCTGGCCGGGAGGAGCTGCGGCTCATGGCTGGGCCTGTCTTGGCAGGAGAACGTGTCCCTGGCCGACATCCTCTCCCTGCGGGACAGCGGCCTCAGCGAGCAGGAGGCCTGGGCCGTGTGCCTGGAGTGCAGCCTGTCCATGCGCAGCGTGGCACACGCGGCCATCTTCCAGACCCTGTGCATCACGCCCGACACCCTGGCCTTCAACACCAGCGGGAACGTGTGCTTCATGGAGCAGCTCAGCGGTGAGGCGGCGGCGGGCGGGCGGCTGCAGGGTGGACGTGGGCGCCAGCACAGCCAGAGGACCTGGGGCGCGGGCGGGAGGACCGGCCCTGGGCGGGGCTGCAGCCTCACTCCTCGGAGGGGCAGAGGCGCCGGCCCGGCGTCCCTCCTGGGCCCTGGGCCCGTCCCGCTGGCCCCGCAGGGGTGGACGCTGCGCCTCCCAGGTGAGACTCCCGGGCGCGGTGGGCGGCTGCACCTGCCCTGCCCTCCAGGCCCTGGGTCCCTCCTCCTGGGGCCCCGCAGAGCCCAGGTGCTCCCACCTGCAGCCAGGCCCAGGTTAAGGCGCCCACTCCCTTTTTACCTCGACTGCCGCAAATGCTGGGCGCCGGAGGGAGAGGACTCGGCTGCCTGTCGGCGGGTCTGAAGGGTGAGTGACCCTTCTCTTTGCTCCCCAAGATGACCCCGAGGGCGCCTTTGTCCCCCCGGAGTTCGATGTGACCGGGAACACCTTTGAGGTGAGTTTGGCAGGTGGGTGTGCGCCGAGCCGGCCCTCCTCACCTTCCCCTTCAAGGTCGCCGTTGGTGTCACCACGTGGGGTCGGCCTCTGCCGGCCGTGCGGGGAGCCGGGGGCAGGGCTGCCGTTGGGGGCGCCCACCTTGTCCCCCAACGGGGACTCCAGACAGCCCCAGTCACGGCTCCGCCTGTGGGAACAGTGGCTCTGACCACGTTTGTCATTGTTATACTTTCGTTCTGTGTTTTCTGGATGCAAATGCACACACGTGACAGTAAAACCACCTAAAACTCCCAGAGACGATGGGCAGGCGCCGTGGTTTCCCCGAGGCCTCTGGGTGGGGATCGCCCCCGAGGCCACCCGCTGGGGCTTTTTTTTTTTTTTTTTTTTGAGACAGAATCTCCGTTTGTTGCCCAGGCTAGAGTGAGTGCCGTGGCGTCAGCCTAGCTCACAGCAACCTCAGACTCCTGGGCTCAAGCGATCCTGCTGCCTCAGCCTCCTGAGTAGCTGGGACTACAGGCATGCGCCACCATGCCGGCTAATTTTTTCTATATGTATTAGTTGTCCAATTAATTTCTTTTTATAGTAGAGACAGGGGTCTCCTCTTGCTCAGGCTGGTTTCCAACTCCTGACCTTGAGTAATCCACCGGCCTTGGCCTCACAGAGTGCTAGGATTACGGGCGTGAGCCACAGCACCCGGCCTCCGCTGAGCTTTTGAGGCCTTCGTGGTGGCCGAGGCGCCAGACGGCCCCCAGGGCACGAGGGCATCGGCCTCGGCGCCTGGCCCTGGGCTCCCGCTCCGTCCCTGGCACTGTCTGTCCTCCGTCAGAGCCGTCTGTCGTGGGCTGGGCTGAACCGGACGCTGATCCAAGGGCCATGGGAGAGCAGAGCCTGAGCCCCCGCTCAGAGCAGGCCGGTCTGGCAGGCACAGACCGGGAAGCAGAATCCCACCTCGGCCGCCCCGAGCGGCGCCTTCTCAATCTGGGGGGAACGACCTCTGGGTACGTGTCAGCTCCGAGCTCTGATCCCAGAGGGAGTTTCCGCACGCACTGCCCGCTGCGTGTCCCGGCGCCCTGAGCGGCAGGACGCGCCACCGAACCTTCGGCCACTTCGCCTCCCACGCCCAGGGCTCCATCCTCTCTCTCCTGAGCATGCGCGCCCTGGCCGGCCTCCCTCCACCCTGCCCTCTGCCAGGCAAGCCCAGCCAGGGCGTCCAGCACCCCCACCGCCCGGGGCCGCCCACCCCCTTGTCCAGCTCCTGCTCCGTCCAGCCGAGTCCTGCTGCTCTGGTGTGGACACCCTGGCTCCGAGAGGGCTCTCCCTGCGGCCGGACCCCCAGAACGTGCTCGAGCTGCTGCTCTTAACAGCCAGACCGGCCCGACACTGGCATCTCGCTGGGTCACCAGCTGTGCGGGAGTGACCCGGACCCCCCCACCCTCCCCAGAATTCGCCCACACAGTGTCGGGGTCCCCCAGGGAGAGCAGCCCGGCCCAGGGCCCCCACGAGTCTTTAAGGAACCCTCAGGGGCGGGCAGGTGGCAGCCCCGGGGGCACCGGAGACCACAGGGGCCGGCAGCGCTGGCCGAGGTCGGGGGCAGGACTGTGGCCGGCCAGCGGCAAGCCAAGCGCGTAGGAGCTCGGCAGGTGGTGCCGGGCAGGGGCTGGTGCCACCGGGAGGGATGGGGACCGGACGGCCCAGGAACCCAGGACACAGGGCAGGTGCGGAGAGCGCCCACGTGGGGTCAGGCCGGGCCCTCACGAAGGTCAGTCTGGTCCCCGGAGGGACTTGTGGCTGTGAAGAGCTGGCGCCCGGGGCCGAGGCGGCGCACAGGAAGAGCAACCAGGTCACTCGCTGCGTGTGCCATGCGGCGTTTGCCATTGTGTGCCGTGTCCAGGCGGGAGGCCTGGAGGATCCTGTCAGTGTGGAGATGGCGTGTGCGGAGCGCCCCTCTGGGGGGTGGACTGGCAGGAAGGAGACTCAGTTTCCCCTCTGCAAAGCTTTTTATCTTACTAAAACTACTTCTGAAACACGAAATAGCAGTTGAGGCTGGCGGCCGTGGAGGCGATCACGCCTGAATCCCAAACACTCCTGGGAGGCCGAGGTGGGAGGATCACTCGAGTTCAAGGATTTCGAGACCGAGCCTCGGCCAAGGAGCGAGACCAGCCATCCTCCTACTACAAAATACGAAAGAAATTAATTGGGGGCCAACTAAAATATATCATAGAAAAATTAAGCCCGGGCATGGTGGCGAATGTCTGTAGTCCCACGCTAACCGGGAGGCTGAGCAGGAGGAATCGCTGACCCAGGAGTCTGAGGTTGCTTGTGAGTGGGCTGACGCCCACAGCACTCCACTTGAGCGGGCAACACAGTGAACTCTGTCCTCAAAAAAAAAAAAAAAAGTTGAGGCAGAATTGGTGGTGCTGGATGGCAAGCCGGTGGCCGCGCCTCTGGACCAGAGACTCTGGCCAGGGGTCACGGTGGGAGGGGCAGCGTGGCGCCTGGCGTTCCCGCGACAATGGGGCTTTCAGCAAACCAGACAGTCTGCAGGTGACTCGGGCCTCACACGACCACTTGGCAGGTGACCCCGGGCCCTCACCACCCACTGAGGGTCATGTGAGACCCCCCGGGGGCCTGGCTGCCGCGCCCCCCAGCACAGCGGCAGTCCAGTTCAGGGTGGGCGCCAATGTGCTCTCGGCGCAGCCTCGGACTAGTAATCGGACAGGAGGTGGATGGGGACACGGCCCTCACCTCCAGAAGGGGCCGTGGTGCGGTCCTGGCCTCCCCAGTGTGTGCTGGGACCTGCCTCCCCTGGGTTTCCCGCTCCTTGGGAGCCTGGACGGTGGACGCCCCTCGTGCTGTTCTGGATGAGGCAGCCAGGCCTTCCACGGGCCCTTCAGGCCCCACAGCTGGGAAACCCTTTTCAGGCACAAGCGCAGCCTGACTTTCCTCTTGCCGAAACCCAGCGGAGGGGCACGCCCCACAGAGAGAGAGGCTCGGCCCCTGCAGAGGTGCCGCGCCTCAGGAGGGGGTCCGCATCTCCGAGGGTGGTGGGGAGGGCGCGTGGCGGCAGGTGTGTGCCGCGCTGACGGCCCCTCCGTGCGCGGGCTCACATCTCACTCCTGGGGCCACGCTGAAGGCGGCCCTGGAGTACGTGGCGGAGCCCACGCTGGGGCCCAGGCTGAGCCAGGACCTGGAGGCGCTGCTGGACCGGATGCAGGCTGAGGACCCCGGGACGCGGCCCGACCTGGAGGTAGGCGCTCGGCGCGCCCCCGCCCGGGCAAACACCGGCCCACCCTGCCACGTGGCACTGCACATGTGTGCACACACACACATGGGCCCGCAGAGGCTCCCTTGGGTCCCTGGACAAGAACTTGGAGGTGCCCGCGTTGTGTTTAAAGCGAGGGCTTGATCTCCCCCGCACGTGGCGGGTGGGCGGTCCTGGGGCTGTGCGGTCGGGCGGGCAGGGCCTCCTCCCTGGCGACCCGTCCGCTGTCCACAGAAGCATCATCGCGCTCTGCGAGGAGAAGATGCAGCTCTGCACTTCCTCCTGCCGCCTGTGCCGCAGCCTCTCGGCGTGGGGAGGAGGGTGCTCTCCATCGAGTCCTTCGGAGCACTGCAGGGTGAGCGCTCCCCCGGACCCACACACGTATGTGTTTGCATGTGTGCATACACATCGACACATCTGTGCATGTGTGCACGTGTAATGTGCCTACAAGTGTGCACATGCATACGTGCAATGCACACATATATACATGCATGTGAGTGTTCCCGCTAACATGCACACACACATATAGGCACACATCCACTTACACAGGTGTGTGCACACGTACACGTACTGCACACACATTAACACAGATCACATGCACACTCACATGCATACTAATGTAATCACACACCTTATAAACATCTGCACTGACACACAATCACATGCACCTATATTCACACAGATCACGTGTACGGCCTGTAACCGCCCCCCGCCTGAACCATTTTACCTCCACTCCACACAGTCACACATATATGCAGATTCATGTGTGTCTATATATACTGCACCCTCCCAGGTGAGCACACTCTCATTTACATGCCCACACTGAAACACACATGTTCACACGTGCATACACGTTCACACTGTGCACACGCTCGCATGTCCACGTTCGCACTCATTCTCGGGGGCAGCTGGCAGTTTTGCAGACACCAGGCCACGAGAGCCGAGGTCAAGGTCACGTTCGGAAGTGACGGACACTAGTGCTGGTCACCCCTCTGGGTCCCAGGGGCTCAGCGAGTGGGCGTGGTGCCGTCTCCCTCTGCCAACGCCGCACGGCGACTGCTGCCGCAGCGTCCTGGGGTCCCGTCTTTCCTCTTGCCGAAATCCAGCGGAGGGACACGCCCCGCAGAGAGAGGCTCGGCCCTGCAGAGGCGCCGCAGCCTCAGGGAGGGGGGCCAGCATCTGCCCCTCGGGGTGGGGGTGGGGGAGGGCGGCGTGGCGCAGGCGTGTGCCTGGCGCTGACGGCCCCTCCGTGCTGCGGGCTCACGTCTACTCCCTGGGGGCCACGCTGAAGGCGGCCCTGGAGTACGCGGCACCGTCTCCTGTCGTCTCAGTGCCCTGGCACAGACGGCACCTGCGCACCGTGGCCTGCGCACCGTGGCCTGCGCACGGGGCCCGTGGGGCCTCAGGGCAGTGGTGCTGAGGCCGTAGCCGCAGGCAGCCTCGCAGAGGCCACAGCCTCGTCCTGCCAAGCAGGTGGCATTTCCAGCCCCGTGAGCGGTTGCACTGCCGCGGCCCAGGCGGGCGGCCACCAGCGTCACTCTTCACGGAGCAGTGCCCCCTGGGAGGGCGCAGCGTGACGCGGCTGCAGAGTCCCCAGAGCGGCCGCGAGAGCCCGAGCCGCACTCACCCAGCGAGTGTGGGAGCCTGTCCGCCAGCACGGCCGTGGCCAGATTCAGTGTCGTGTCGTGGGGACTGTCACTTGTGTGCCATGATGGGAAAGTGACTGCCTCGGCCGAGATAATTAGCCAACCAGCGCTCCCATGGGAGCCCCCGGCGGAAGCCTGGCCTGGCCCCGGGGAGAGGGAGGCCCCGAGCGGCTTTAATTAGCCAGGACCATGTGACGGGAGAGGCGGGATTGGCGGTCGGCCCTGTCCCCTGGGCACCTGTACTGGTGTCATGGAGGTGGCGGGGCTGGGGACGCCATCCGGGCGGGGCCCTCTGGCTCCGCGGTAACCACGTCCTGCTTGTGCACAGATGTTGGGGAGACCCCCTGGAGGGAGAAACCTGCTCCAAGAAGCGCAGGGCCCAGGCGGCCGCCCGGAGACCGCGGTGCTGACCCAGAGCCCCTGCCCCAGCGCCGCCTGCCTGCAGGCCCAGAGCTGGAGACCAGCCCCAGGCCCTCGCCGCCCAAGCCCCTGCTGGCCCCCTCCATGAGGAACGGGGAGGGCCACGGCCGGGGGGGCCTGGCCGGCCTCTTCCTGGACACCAGGGGCCCCCTGGGCGAGCTGGACCGAGACCTGCTCAGGAGGGGCCGGCTGAGGAAGGTGCAGACGTTCCCCAGGCTCCTGCCCGACGGGCCCGAGGCCAGCGCCCTCCCCCCGCCACTGACCGGCTTGAAAAGCCAGCTGCTCACCTCTGAACTCTTCCCTCCGGACCCCAGGAAGGCCTTTCCGGATGGGGAAAATGGCCCTTCCAGCTCCAAGCCGCAGCCCAAGTGCAGACTGTGGCCCGGGCCGGAGCCCACGTCCCGGCTGGGAGGGGCTCCCCAAGCAGGCCTCAGCGGGGCCGGGGGGCCGGGGGCGCCCAAGGCTCCATGCCCCGGCCAGGAGCCCGCAGAAGAGAGATCCCCGCCCTGTCCTGCAGACCCAAGAGAGGCAGGCCCTGAAGGCCGGACACCCAGGGGTGACGAGGAGATTCCGGAAGCAGCCATGCAGCCGGCAGGTGCAGACTCGGAGCAGGTGGGTGAGCAGGTGTCGTAGGGCTGGGCCAGGTAGGCGGCTCGAGGGCAGCAGGGGGTTTCTGGGCCCGAGCACTCCCAGGGCGTCCCCAGTGACGCTGGGATCCTGTGCAGCTGGCGGGACGGCCCCGGGAAGGTTACCGAGGAGGTACCACGGTTACCACGGTTACCATGGTAACACGGTTACCATGTCCTCTGCCCCTGGTGACGGCAAAGGACTCTGTCTGGAGCCAAACCTCGGGCAGGCTTGGGTGGTTTTGCGTCACCACGGGTGGTCTGAGGGACCGGCCCCTCGGGCCTCTGCCTCTGCGTCCTCGTGAGCTCCTCAGGGCAAGGACCCCAGAGCCACCTCCTGTGCCACCAGGGCCTCCTTCCCGCCAGGCCACTGACCCACAGTCCCGGCCTCACTCGCACTCACCTCCTGTGAGCCTGTGGGGTCCTCTCCATCTGGCTCAATGTTGCACACGCGTGCCCCGCCACCCTGTCCTGCACTACCCACCCGCTTCCCGCGCCCAGGCGCCTCACGACAGCCCACCTTCCAGGTGGGTAAACTGAGGCACGGGGTGGCTAAGCCCCCGTGAGAAGGCGGCACTGCCCAGGGGTGGAGCTGAGGTCTCGGGACCGGGGCCGCCCAGACCTCAGCCCCGAGCGCAGGTGACAGGGCTGGCCCAGAGCCAGGGGCCATCACCAGTCAG